TTGGGGGCTTTCTGTTGACATTGATAACTATCCTCTACAGTTTTCTTTGCATTTGAGTTTGGAGATTTTCATTTAAATTTGGAGTCTTCAAGCTGGTGTTCAACTTAACTGCTTTGCGGAATCAATGAACCCAAGTTAATTAGGTCTATTAATTTCAATAGGTTTACTCAGAGTAGAATTAGCATTGACTACTGCCCCCACTTATGCCAGAATACTTCGTGTGTTGATAATTGGGGGGGAGGAGAAATAATTCTGGAGAAATGGTAGGGGGTGTGTGTGTTGCTCAATGTTTCTGCTGTTCTCTCCCTTTGCACAATCTCCCTTTCCTTGGAAAGAGATGTTTTTACCAAAATCATCATCATCATTGTGGTCATCTTTGTAGTAGCGAGGATTAGGATTGCAGCCTAAATGTGTGTGTGTGTTGCTCAATTCCCCATTTACCATATTTTCCCGTGTACAGTGGTACCTCGGGTTACATACGCTTCAGGTTACAGACTCCGCTAGCCCAGAAATAGTACCTCGGGTTAAGAACTTTGCTTCAGGATGAGAACAGAAATCGCGCGGCAGCGGGAGGCCCTATTAGCTAAAGTGGTGCTTCAGGTTAAGAACAGTTTCAGGTTAAGAACGGACCTCCGGAATTAATTAAATACGTAACCAGAGGTACCACTGTATTAGACGCCCCCATGTGTAAGATGAACCCCTATTTGGGGGACTAAAAATTAAGAAAATGGGGAGAGATTGCCAAGAGTTGTTGAGCTTTTTTTTGCGGAGGAGGGAAGCAAAACATTTCTATAGCTCTTTGGGAGGCAGTAGTTAGCAAAAAAAACCTACAGAGCACCACTTTCAATCGCACGTGTCACTAAAGCAACCTACCGTCTGCCCGATCAGCAAAAGCAGACGCAAGGCACTCCCGATTGACGCAGCACCAGCCAATACACAGCGGGCGTTGCCGCAATCACCTGTCACCTGCCCAATCACCACTGACACTCTCCTGCTCGCTGCAACAACCAATCGCACATCAAAAAAAAGGCACTACCCATGTATAAGGCAACCCACCCACCCACCCATTTTATACTTTGTTTTTGGGTAAAAAAGGTTGTCTTATACACAGGAAAGTACGGTAATTTGGAGCAGGTGGTGTTAGCAACAACAGCACCATCGTCGTAGTAGAAGCAGTGGAATTATGATTGCAACCTGTGCGTGTTGCTGAATGCTTTTGTTGTTGCATCATCATCACCCTAGCACGATATCGTCCTCTTTCAACTCGGCGTTGTCAAATGAACGTGTCGTTATCATTATCACCATTCTTATTACGATCACAGCACAGTCTAGGTGACCTATTGAAACTAATGGCCCTAACTTAGCCATGGGTCTTAAGTCTGAACAAAATTTACTTGAATACACCCTTAAACGTGCATGTGGGTTTTTATTTACAGTGGTACCTCGGGTTAAGTACATAATTCATTCCAGAGGTCAGTTCTTAATCAAAAACTGTTCTTAACCTGAAGCACCACTTTAGCTAATGGGGCCTCCTGCTGCTGCCGCGCCACCAGAGCACGATTTCTGTTCTCATCCTGGAAGCAAAGTTCTTAACCCGAGGTAATATTTCTGGGTTAGCGGAGTCTGTAACCTGAAGCGTATGTAACCCGAGGTACCACTGTATTTCATAGCTATTGTCATAGCACCAGGACAGGACAGAATCCCAGCAGAAGCGCTGACAGAAGGCCTCAATTCCTCCCTCAAAACACACCTGCACAATCTCCTCTTGCGATGTCAGGAACAAGAATCTGTGCCACAAGAAATGTGCAACCCCAGCTTTGTGACTTTCTACCAGAACTAAGGTGACTGCCATGACTGACAACCAGTGTTCAAAACTCTCATTGTTCTAGGTGCGTTTGTGACAGGGAATTTCATTAGCACGAGCAGTTTCTGAGCTCTGGGCACAGTACTGCACCTAAGAATTCAGATAAACTGCAGAGTGGAAGGAAAGGGAGGGCCTTTTTATGCCTCCCCACTTCCAGCTACTCTCTGAAAACTGGAGAAGAAACCCTGTTAAAGGGGGGTGGGCAGGGGAAGGACTAGACCATGTGAAAAATGAACATAATAGCTGCAGTTCAATTTCAGCTTTGTATTCTTGTTATTTAAAAAGCGTGCCTAGACATTATGTTGTTGTGCCCATAACCTCTATGGTGCCATTTAGCTCCTAGCTTTCAAATCTCAGTTTCTAACACTGCTGAGATCTCCCTGTTGAGCACTGTAAGGGAAAGCCTTTGCCTGTGTAGTTCTCAACAGACTACAGTCACTGACAGCATCTGTTCTAAGCCACAATGTCAAGAATCAACATGATTTTCTCACGATGCCAGCTGCAGGAGAAATGCTGAGAGCAGAGACAATCCTGGTACATCGCCTTCCTGGACCTTACAAAGGCCTTTGATCTTGTCAGCTGAAAAGGTCTCTCTGTTCTCGCCTCATCTCTCTTTGGCACATTCATCTCCCTATTGCTCTCAGATGCCTTCGGCTCAGCTGAAGATGGTGTGTTCATCCAATCAAGGAGTGATGGGAGTCTGCCCAACCTGGCACGTCTCCACTCCAAAACCAAGGTGTGGCAGGTCCTCATCTGAGGGAGGTTGTTTGCAGAAGACGCAGCCTTGACAGCGCACACCGAGGAAACTCTACAGAGACTCATCGGCCATTTTGTCCAAGCCTGCAGGGAGTTCAGTCTACCACCAGCCTGGTGAAAACCAACATTCTGAGTCAGGACATCACCAGCATCACCACTGGTGATCTATTTTGTCTACCTGGGTTCCACCATAACCAGCAATCTCTCCCTTGAGGCTGAGCTGGACAAGCCTATTGGCAAGGCAGCTATGGCAATGGCTCACCTCTCCAAAAGGGTTCGGGGGAATGTGATGCTAACATCCAAGAAGAAGCTCTGCCAGGCTTGTGTGCTGAGCATGTTGCTCTATGGAAGTGAGTCGTGAACTTATAACCATCAGGAGTGACACTTCAGTGCCTTCCACATGCGCTGCATCAGGAAGATTTTGAATTGTCGCCGGACAGGAAATAATAATAAGAATAAATTTTATTTATACCCCGCCCTCCCCAGCCAAGACCGGGCTCAGGGCGGCTAACACCAGATATAAAAACAATTGATTAAAATACAACATTAAAATGCAGCCTCATTTCAGTAGAAACTCAAATCAAAAACTTTTTTGGTGATGAAAACGTCAAGTCTTCACCAAGGCTAACTATCCAGACTGGTCCTACATGGGCCAGAAAAAAGCCAGGGAAGTCCCATCACAGAAGGAGAAAGGAAAAAAAGAAAAAGGGGGAGGGGATCAAGTTAATTCCAAGCCAAAGGCCAGGCAGAATAACTCTGTCTTACAGGCCCTGTGGAAAGAAATCAGATCCTGCAGGGCCCTGGTCTTATGAGGCAGAGCGTTCCACCAGGCCGGAGCCAGTGTAGAAAAGGCCCTGGCTCTGGTTGAGGCTAATCTGACTTCCTTAGGGCCCGGGACCTCTAGGGTGTTGCTGCTTATGGACCTTAAGGTCATCCGCGGGGCATACCAGGAGAGGCAGTCCCGTAAGTACGAGGATCCTACCAGGAAAGGGTTTCAAACAAACGTGCTCTCCCAAGTCCACATTCCCAGCATGTTTGCACTCCTGTGTCAGCAACATCTACACTGGCTTGGTCATGGCCACACAATGGAAGATGGCAGCATCCCCAAGGATATGCTCTATGGGGCTTCAGGTACCAGGACCATTGGCAGACCAACTGCGTTACAAAGATGTCTGCAAATGGCAACGTCAATCCAGACATGTGGGAATCCCTTGCAGATGACCAGAGTGCTTGGAGGCAGACAGGCAGGTCATGTATTCATAGCAATGGCCAGAGGAGAAATGACCTCTGGGAGGAGGGCAGAGAGAAGAAAGGCCATGGTGCATCTGCAGGAGCATAACTGGACGCCTTTGTTGCAACAAATGTGTATCTCTCGTATTGGTCTCTGCAGCCACAGTAGGTGCTGCAACCTTCAAACAGTTTGACTTCACCCAAGAGGCTCACTCCTCCATCTTCTCCTGAGACTGACAGGTGCCAATTTAGTGCATCATGGATCCTACCCATCTGGATACGCAGGAGTAAGTGGGTAGGTACTGGCAGCAACTGCCAAAGAGTAAGACACAGTGGCAGCCCTGCAGGGCTCTTGTATTGCAGTTGGGCAACAAAGGGGTATAAGAGGCTCTCTTGAGCTTCTCCCTGTCCTTCGTTCCAGGGTGGACCTAACAATGGCAGCAGTTCAAATGTTGTGAAAGAGGCAGTTCTTAACTGAAAGCAGTATGGAATAAAAGCAGCTTATGGACTCCCATCAAATCTGGCATGGTGCTCAGCAATCATCATCATCATCATCACCCCTCTGGTAGGGTTTCCCCTGCAACGCTGGTCAGTTCCAACACATATAAAAACATAATAAAACACCAGAGGAATGGGTTATGAAACCAATGGACTATGTTAAAATGGCTAAATTGATTGCCAAACTAAGAATTGCCAAACTACATGTATCACCCAAACATGTAGTTGCAGGCAGGATTTGAAATATAAGCAGTTACTGGAAGATTTAATGATAGTGAAGTTTAGATAATAAATACATATGAATTGTAAAACAGCTAATAAAAAGAAGTAAAGTACAAACTTCAGGAAAGGAAGGGTAAATATCGCCAGATAGGAATATCGCCAGACAGGACACACGCGCGCGCACACACACACTAAAACATCAAACATTAAAAACTTCCCAATACACTCTTGCATCTTTGCACTTGTGTACAAAAGGATCTCATGCCTTGTGGCAGAGAACTCTTGCACACGAATGATGATGATGATGATGATGATGATGATGATGATGATGATGATGATGTTTGTACACCGCCCATCTGGCTGGCTTTCCCCAGCCACTCTGGGCGGCTTCCAACAAAGATTTAAAATGCATTAAATAAATGTCACACATTAAACTTCCCTTTCTCAATCGCCCCATTTCACCTAGAACAACCCTTTCCCAACATTTCATTTGTTCTGTAGTCTCCTCCCACTCTGTGTATATAACTTGATGAATCACTGTTCTTGAAATCATTGCAACCAGTCTCTCAAATCCCTTTCCAGGGGAGCAAGGGAGACACCGAACACGCTGAGAACGATAAAAAAATAAAACCCACCAGGAAAAGGAGAGAGAGGTGAGTCTGCGCTGTCTTGGGACATGCACACCAGCCTCAGGTGATGGGAGAAATCTCGCCAAGAGGATGTGGCACGGTTGGTCCATTTAGCTTAGTCTTGCCTAAGCTACATGGACAGGCAACAACTGCCCAGGGGCTCTAACAGGAGTCCTTCTCAGGTCTACCTGAAGATGCTGGCGATTGACCCTTGGACCTCCTGCATGCAAAGCAGATGCTCTTATCATTGAGCTACAGCCCTTCCCTTAGTGTGGGTGGCAAGGAGAGGAAGCAGGATTGGGGAGAAATAAATGGGGATTGCAGAAAGGGAGATGGAGAGACACCCTGCTTACTTTTGGCTCCAGCCCTGATCACTGCTGGTGGCCCCTAGAAGATTACCACTGAGGGATTGCGGCCCTCCAGAGGAAGAATAGGTTCCAACTCCCCTGCTCTTAACTTTCAAGCTAGCTGTCCTTCAAAACCAAAACTAGGCTTTAAAATAAAAAATTCTACTTCGCCTATTCAGAGGTGTTATGGGAACCACAAGTAGGAAGAGTGCTGTTGTGCTCATGTCCTGTTTTTGAGCTTCCCATGGGCATCCTGATCTAGATGGGCCAATCGACTGATCCAACAGGACTCTTCTTCTGAAATAGCGTGTTCTGTGTATTCTACAATTTCTGGGACGTTTCCCTTTCAGCTGCTGCAATGGCCCCCCATCTCCTTCCTTGGCTCTTGTGCCTCATCCTTTCGCTGGTGGGACCCAGTTCAACTGCTGAAGATGACTTGGTGGTGGTGACCAGCAGTGGCTCAGTCCGGGGGAAGCGTCTCCCGTCTGGCTCTGGCAACGTCACGGCCTTTTTAGGCATCCCCTATGCTGAGCCCCCAGTAGGCAAGCTGCGCTTCCAGAAGCCCGTTCCTCATCAGCCATGGAGCCAGGTCTTGGAGGCCACCAACTTCAGCAATTCCTGCCCCCAGATACTTATTTCCGGCACTCCAGATGCCGAAACATGGACGGCCAACACGCCCCTCTCAGAGGACTGTCTCTACCTCAACGTCTGGGTGCCCCATCCTCGGCCCTCCAAGCCAGCCGCTGTCCTTGTCTGGATCTATGGTGGGGCCTATTTTATTGGCACAAGCTCCCTAGTGATATACAATGCGGAATTCCTAGCTGCTGCCGAGAATGTCATTGTGGTCTCCATGAATTACCGCCTGGGGCCTCTAGGTTTCCTTTCGTTGCCACCAGCTGTCCCAGGGAACATGGGCCTGATGGACCAGCAGCTAGCCATGTCTTGGGTGAAGCAGAATGCAGCTGCCTTCGGTGGAGACCCTACTCGGATAACCCTTTTTGGTGTGAGTGCTGGGGGAGCCTCTGTTGCATTTCACCTCCTCTCGCCAGGGAGCCAGCCTCTTTTCCATCGTGCTGTGCTAGAGAGTGGAACCTCCGTCGCGGCCTGGGCTTGGCTGAATCCTGAGGAGGCCAGGAGAAGAAGTCAGAAGCTGGCCAAGATGATGGGCTGTGCTCAAGAAGAGGTCCCTGCTTTGGTGAGTTGCTTGCAGGGAAAGAACGCATCACAGTTCCAAACCACCCAGTTCCTGGTTGTGGACCCCACGGTGGTTCTGAATCCACCCTTTGCACCAACAACGGATGGGGAATTCCTCACCGATGAGCCGCGGAAGCTTCTAGAATCCAAGAACTTCACGGCTAAGCCTATCGTGATTGGTACCACCTCCGACGAAGGGTCTATCCTCGTCTTATATGCAAGCCTTTTTTTGAACACGACCAAAGACTGCCTTTTGACCCAGGAGCAACTGTTGAAGGGGCTGCAGATCACCGTCCGCAACGCAACCAGCGACCTCATCAAAGCTGCAGCTGAGAGGTACAGTCAGGCAGAACCCGAAGGCCCAGCAAGGTACCGTTCAGCCATGGTGAAAGCCTGCGGCGATTACCTTTTCGTCTGCCCAGTCACGGATGTCGCCACAGCAGTGACAGAGGCTGGAAGCCCTGTGTACGTCTATACATTCCGCCACCGCAGCACTGGCTCTGTTTGGCCTGAATGGCTGGGGGCCAGCCACGGAGCTGAGGTCCCGTATGTTTTCGGAACTTTGACTCTGTTGAAAGGAACCAAGGAAAACCACACAAAGGCAGAGTTGGAGCTTATCTCCCGTGTCATGCGCTACTGGGCGGAGTTTGCCCGAAGCGGGTAAGAGAACTTTTTGGTTTCTCCTTTCATTCACCCTTGCCTCAACAGCACAAAGACAGTCGCTTCTCTATGAGTGCGACGACTTAGCCAAAAGACTTGTTTATTGCTTTGAGATTGAAAGCATGAAACTTATGGGTGACCCACAACTTGTGCGCATTCCATACCCTCCAACATTTCCCCGATGAAAATAGGAGCTTCCTATTCCATAATAATAATGTATTATTATTTAGATCCCGCCCATCTGACTGGGTTGCCCCAGACACTCTGGCGGGCTTCCAACATACAGTGGTACCTCGGGTTAAGTACTTAATTCATTCCGGAGGTCCATTCTTAACCTGAAACTGTTCTTAGCCTGAAGCACCACTTTAGCTAATGGGGCCTCCCGCTGCTGCTGCGCCGCTGGAGCACGATTTCTGTTCTCATCCTGAAGCAAAGTTCCTAACCCAAGGTAATATTTCTGAGTTAGCGGAGTCTGTAACCTGAAGCGTATGTAAGCTGAGGCGTATGTAACCTGAGGTACCACTGTATATAAAAAACGTAGTAAACCATTAAGCATTTAAAATCTTCCCCACGCAGGGCTGCCTTCAGATGTCTTCTAAAGGTTGTATAGTTCAGGGGTCAGCAACCTTTTTCAGCTGTGGGCGTCCACCGTCCCTCAGACCTTGTGGGGGGCCGGACTATATTTCGAGGGGGGGTGAACGAATTCCTCTCCCCCACAAATAACCCAGAGATGCATTTTAAATAAAAGCACACATTCTACTCATGTAAAACACGCTGACTCCCAGACAGTCCACGGGCCAGATTGAAAAAGCGATTGGGCCGCATCCGGCCCCCTATCCTTAGGTTGCCTAGCCCTGGTATAGTTACTTATCTCCTTGGCTTGAGGGGGTCACATAACTCCACCCCCTCCAAAATTTCTCCCATGAAAATAGGGACGTCGTAAGGAAAAGCAGGACATTCCGGGCTCACATCAGAAACTGGGACGGCTTCTGTAAATCCGGGACTCTCCCTGGAAAATAGGGACATGCCAGAGAGTCTCACATTCAGCTTTACACTTTTGGCAAAAAAACCCCAAAAATTAAAAGGGGGTGGAAAGTGGGTGGGTGTCCAGGAAAAAATACTTTGTCAACCCCTCCCGCCACTGAACCCAGTATGTTTTGGCTATGGTTTGGGCAATGGTAAGTTGAGGGTGGCCTGTATAAAAGCCAAGCTCAAACTAAGATAAGGAAGCATTTCTGGTATTCTCAGTGTTCAAAATTTTAGCTGATATCATAATTTGTGTGCATGCTAATTATAAATAATGTCATTATCTCAGCCGCTCTGGATCTAGCTTGCATTTCTTTATACTAAGGTAGCTATTCTACTTATTCTATAACCCAACACTTAACAATTCTTTCTCCTGTGGGTTGAGGCAGGTGGTCGCTAATAGCTAATCACGATGAGCAGGCAAAACCGCTGGAAGCTACTATGCACTGATAACACTGATTGCAAGAAGGGTTGTTTGTGCAAGTGCAGAATTGCACAATTAACAGGCACTGCATTGCGTTCTTGTTGGGGATAGTGAGCAACCGATTAGTGTGAAAGCAGAGTGTTTTGCAATTTTGTACGAAGTACACGCACACACGCATACACACACACACACACACACACACGAGTTAGCTATAATGCAGTTGCATTACAGTGGTACCTCAGTTTTTGAATGGCTTAGTTCACGAACAACTTGGAATGCAAACGCTGGGTGTTCCGGTTTTCGAACTTTTTTTTTGGAAGCCAAATGTGTTGTTTTGAGTCCCCCTGTGTTTCCTGTTGCGCTTCTAATTTGCATCCCCACCCCCCACCCCGTTGTAATTCAAGCCTTCTGTTTCCAATTGCAGTGTTCTGAGGTGATATTTGGGGCTAGAGACTTTTTCAGTTAATTTGTTTTTGTGACTGTGTGGATCCCAGTTCAGCTACTGATTGATTGATTGATTGATTGATTGATTGATTGACTGACTGATTGATTGTGTGACTGTGGAAATGGATAAAAGCCCCCCATCCAAACAATGACTATTATCAGTCCAGGTAAGAAATTTTTTTAATTTTTATTTTTATCATTTACAATACTGTTTTATTTATTTTATACTACAGTACATTGTTTATTGTTGGGACGCAGGTGGCGCTGTGGGTAAAAGCCTCAGAGCCTAGGGTTTGCCGATCGAAAGGTCGGCAGTTCGAATCCCTGCGGCGGGGTGCGCTCCCGTCGTTCGGTCCCAGCGCCTGCCAACCTAGCAGTTCGAAAGCACCCCCGGGTGCAAGTAGATAAATAGGGACCGCTTACCAGCGGGAAGGTAAACGGCGTTTCCGTGTGCGGCTCTGGCTCACCAGAGCAGCGATGTCACGCTGGCCACGTGACCCGGAAGTGTCTCCGGACAGCGCTGGCCCCCGGCCTCTTGAGTGAGATGGGCGCACAACCCTAGAGTCTGGCAAGACCGTACGGGCAGGGGTACCTTTACCTTTACATTGTTTATTACTTTCATCTTATGGATCAGTGGTCTCGTAAGATAGTAAAATTCATGTTTTGCGCCCTCCTCTTTCACCCTCATTAAAGGCTCTTTAATTCCTCCTCGCTTTCTGTCATCAAGGTTGTGTCATCTGCATATCTGAGGTTGTTGATATTTCTTCGGCAGTCTTAATTCCGGCTTGGGATTCATCCAGCCCAGCCTTTTGCATGATGAATTCTGCATATAAGTTAAATAAGCAGGGAGACAGTATACAGCCTTGTCGTACTCCTTTCCCAATTTTGAACATAGTATATGTTACATTATAGTAATTCAACACATTTAATTAGTATAAAATAAATAAAAAAAGGAAATTGGATTAACAGAATCAGAAATAGTACTCCTATCTAGTATCAAAAATAGCCAATATTTTGGACTTTCTGAAATATCAGGAATGTCGTCCCATCCTGAGTTTCACAGCGTACTCTTTGTATATACCAGATTTCTCAGAAAGTGCACAAATCTGTCTCTTATTATGGAATCACAGATCCATTGGTCTCTGCGGTCTGTAAAAAGGAAACGGTTGCTCTTTTAACTGGAAATCCTCTTTCTTCCTCCTCTACATGCTTTTGTGAAATCACAGCCTCATTAGTCTTTGGCTCAATGAGCTCTAACCCAAGTTTAGAATATATAGCTGGCGATGATGAAAATGGGAGGCATGTTATCCCTCCCAACATTACACTAACTTAATTATGAACACGAGTAAAGTATTTCACTGATACTCAACATCGTTGTTTCGGAAACTCCGTCAGATGGGCAGGGTACAAGTAATAAATTATTATTATTATTATTATTATTATTATTATTATTATTATTATTAGCACACCACACCTGTCTAACACTGTTTTAAGAAAGCAGAGTGGTGTATTGTGTGCCTCACACAGAACCAGTGCTATTTGAACAATGATTTATTTGCTTCCCACTCAGCAACCCGACTCCTTCCGATGTCAACGAAACAAAATGGCCCGTCTACGACCCGGCACAGCAGAACTTCTTCGTCCTCAGCACGGAGCCACCCCGTGTGATGGAGCCATCGCCGGCTCAGCAATGCAGTTTTTGGAAGACACTCCCATCAGGGGCATCAAAGCCAGGTGAGTGGAAAGGGGGAACAAACAGGGCCAAATGCTTTCCTTGCAATGGTCACCTGTCATGGATGCTTTAGCTGAGATTCCTGCATTGCAGGGGGTTGGACTAGATCACCCTCAGATCCCTTCCAGCTCTGTAATACTAATAAATGTCCCCCACCACCATTCAGGCATGGCTTTTTCCAGTTAAAACACAGTGATTTGGGTTTTACATGAACAAGTTTCTCACTCGCGCACATATTCGCTTGGGAAGCTCATTCTCACCTCAGATATCTCTTGAAGGTCTTTTGTTTATGCTGACAGGCTTATTCAATTGCTTGCAGTCATTTTTATATTTATTTTGCATTGCTTTATGTGCATTTTATTCTATTTCATCATCATCATCATTTATACCCCACCCATCTGGCTGGGTTTCCCCAGCCACTCTGGGTGCCTTCCAATAAAATATTAAAAATAGGATCAAACATCAGACATTAAAAACTTCCCTAAACAGGGCTGCCTTCAGATGTCTTCTAAAAGTCTGGTAGTTGTTTATTTCCTTGACATCTGAGGGGAGGGCGTTCCACAGGGCGGGTGCCACCACCGAGAAGACCCTCTGCCTGGTTCCCTGTAACCTCACTTCTCGCAGTGAGGGAACCGCCAGAAGGCCCTCAGCGCTGGATCTCAGTGTCCGAGCTCATATGGGTGAGTGGAATGTAAATATTTTTGTAAATAAAATAAAAAATAGATCAGAAGCTCAGTGTGGTGGTGGTGGCCCAAGAGAAGGGAAATTCTCTGAGGCAGCCCTAAGTTGTGGAATTCCCTCCCCACAGAAGTGTGTTTGCATCTGGCACCTCCATTACCTAGTTTTTTGTCATGTGCTGAAGACATAACTTTTTACGCTGGTCTTAGACACCTGGGAGATATATTCTTATGTTCTTATTTTTAGCATCCACCATATACTTACAACCTTAATTGTTGAAAGCAGTTTTTTTAATATATATTTTTCATTGCTGTAACCCACCCTGGGATCTCACAGGGAAGGGTGGATAAGAAATCAAAATACTACTACTACTAATAATAAGTTCATTTCCTCCTTCATTTGCCATTAAAAAAAAATCCAAGAAGATGTCTTATCCACACAGGAATATGAAAGGAAGGAGGAGCTGTGAATTAAGAGAAAGTTTTCACAGGTAAGCATCAGTAAGGATGGAGAGAAAGAAAGGATCTGGTTGGGAGTTGGGAGAAAGTAGTCCAATGGGACCAGTATAATTTTTTTGGTGGAATACAATTTTCTCCAGCCAAAATTAAGCATTTAAAAGAATCCATTTGATAAGATTTGATTGGGGAGCAATTTAAACATCTGCTCCTAGAAATAATGGGGATTAAAAAGTGCTTAATTTTGTTTGTATTGTGGTTTATATTTACTTCAGTTTATGCCACCACACTGTCCCATTTGATTCACGGGACTTGATACTATTTTAACATTGGCAATTACAGTGGTACCTCGGGTTACATACGCTTCAGGTTACAGACTCCGCTAACCCAGAAATAGTGCTTCAGATTAAGAACTTTGCTTCAGGATGAGAACAGAAATCGTGCTCTGGCAGCGTGGCGGCAGCAGGAGGCCCCATTAGCTAAACTGGTGCTTCAGGTTAAGAACAGTTTCAGGTTAAGAACGGACCTCCGGAACGAATTAAGTACTTAACCTGAGGTACCACTGTAGTTCTACGCAAAGAAGACCTGTTGAAATGAATGGAAATTACTAACAGGTTCCTTAAACTTCAGTGGGCCTACCCTGAGGAAGACTTGGTTGAATACAACTAAGTCAACATAACAGCTCCTACACCTTCCCAGTCCTTACGGAAGACGGGTTACTGCACCGCTAGCACCTGGGCACCCCTTGCAGACGACGGGCAGGTTATAAATGTGAAATAATCACAATACATTGTGAACTGAAATAGGAGTGTAGTGCAAAGGAGAACATTTTTCTCCCATATTTCATTTATATATATATATATATGGAGAAATCGTCATTTTCTTGATTGAAAATATTTGGATCCTCTCAGTCACCAGGATTTCCTCTTTTCAAACATTATAAAAATATGAAATCGTTGATATGAAACACACCAACATTTAAACCAAGGATGGAGAATGTGTGACCCGTTACCCCCAGCCAGCATAGTCAATAGTAAGGATTGACTCAAGTTCAGCAACATCTGGAGGGCCACATGTTCCCCACCCCTGATTTAGGCTCCATCTGTGGTCTAAACCACTGAGCTTAGGGCTTGCCGATCGGAAGGTCGGCGGTTCGAATCCCCGCGATGGGGTGAGCTCCCGTTGTTCGGTCCCAGCTCCTGCCAACCTAGCAGTTCAAAAGCACGTCAAAGTGCAAGTAGATAAATAGGTACTGCTCCGTAAACGGCGTTTCCGTGCACTGCTCTGGTTTCGCCAGAAGTGGCTTAGTCATGCTGGCCACATGACCCTGAAAAACTGTCTGCGGACAAACGTCGGCTCCATCGGCCAGTAAAGCGAGATGAGCGCCGCAACCCCAGAGTCGTTTGCGACTGGACTTAACTGTCAGGGGTCCTTTACCTTTACACAAGACATGTAATGCAGTATCTGATACCACTTCAAGCAGCCATGGCTTCCCCCCCCCCAAAGAATCCTGGGCAATGTAGTTTGCTAAGGACATTGAGAGTTATTAAGAGACCCCTATTCCCCTCTCAGAGCTACACTTCCCAGAGTTCCCTGGGAAGGGAGCAGGATTGTTAAATGACTTTGAGAAGTGTAGCCCTGTGAGGGAATATGGGGTCTCCTCTCACAACCCGTAACAGAGGCATTTCCCAGGATTCCCTGTATATCCATGACTGTATAAATTGGTACGATCCTGCTTTCAATGTATATTGCAGATGGGGCCTTATGCTGGTAAAAGAGTCAGCAGTTGGGTTGAGTAACAAAAGTTAGGAAAATATCCCGTCGATAGCTAAAGGGGAGGAGAAACCCACTTTTCCAGTTGTTCATGTGAAATCTCCAAGGGAACTGGCAACTATAAACACGGGAGAAAGTTCTAGACATGAGGCACCCTGACTAAAAAGGCACTGTCTCTTGTTGGCTTGCCACCTACCTTCGAAGGTAGGGACATTGAATGGAGCCTCTGAAGAAGGCTTTAACAATAACTGGGCAGGTACGTATGGAAGCAGGCCGTCAGGAACCCAGTTCCAATTTGTTTAAGCAGGGGTCAGCAAACTTTTTCAGCAGGGGGCTGGTCCACTGTCCCTCAGACCTTGGGGGGGGGCAGACTATATTTTGAAGGGGGGGAAATGAACAAATTCATATGCCCCACAAATAACCCAGAGATGCATTTTAAATAAAAGGGTACATTCTACTCATGTAAAAACATGCTGATTCCCGGACCGTCCGTGGGCCAAATTTAGAAGGCAATTGGGCCGGATCCAGCCCCCGGGCCTTAGTTTGCCTACCCATGTGTTTAGGCCAGGGGTAGAAAACCTATGGCCCTCCAGATGTTGGTGAATTACAGGTCCCATAAACTCTGACCATTGGCCATGTTGGCTGAGGCTCATGGGAGTTTTGTAGTTCAACAACCTCAGGAGAGCCACAGGTTCTCAACAGCTGGTTGGCAGGGTCAGATCAAAATCAGCACACTCTCAGAAATCTCATGGCCTGCACATGTGGTTTGGGGGAAGATCTTCCAGACACCCATTCGCAACATCACTGAGCTATCCTCCACCTGTAAAAAGAGCTCCGCTAACACCAAATGCTTTGTGTCCCTCAGAGATGTCTGAAAAGATGCAGAAGAACCTATTATGTGGAATTATAAAGCTTCGTTTTCGCCGAAAGGGCTTGCTACTGCCTTGCAAAGACCTGCCTGAAACCCAAGGTTGATTCTCCAACTCTTCGAGATGAAGCAGAAGTATAGTGAAAATGGATACCTCTGTTTTCTTTTTGTGAACTACTAGGCATCCCCAAACTCGGCCCTCCAGATGTTTTGGGACTACAACTCCCATCATCCCTAGCTAACAGGACCAGTGTTCAGGGATGGTGGGAATTGTAGTCCAAAAACATCTGGAGGGCCAAGTTTGGGGGTGCCTGACTTAGAGGCTTGCTTGCTTTTTTTACAATCAATCGGGATGTAACTTTTATGCAATAAATAAATCTTTGGAAAGCATTTTCCCAGCTTCCTATTCCTGCCTCTGCATTCCAGCAACAAAGGTCAGCAATATAAATTGAAATTTCGTATGGAAACGGGTGTGAAAAGTTTAGCTTTAGTGGGGATATTCACATTCTGCACAAAGGCCAAAGTTCAGATCCTCATATATAGTTTGAGTTCAACAACACCTGGAGGGCCATACAGTCCCCTTTCCACATTTATAATTACATTTTTACCAGCTAGATTTATTATTACATTTATATCCCGCTTTTCCTCCAAAAAGTTCAAAGTGGTGTGCATGGTTCTCCCCTTCCGCATATTTCCCCTTAACAACCCTGTGAGGCTGAGAAGTAGTGACTGGCCCAAGATCACTCAGTAAGCTTTATGGCCAAGTGGGGTCTTGAACTCTGGTCTCCTGGGTCTTGGATTGCATTAAATGTACAAGCATGGTATGTGCCAGTTATTTGGTTATTATAAAAGAAGAATTCATTGGATCCCTAGATCCCAAGGCAAGGTGGAATACTCTCCATTAAAAGAGAGCCCCAGCAGAAGTTTCAAAACAGAAAACATGCAGCAAAGAAAAGTGTGGGAATATGGGCCACTAAATATCCTGTTCTAAGTCGTTTACACTTCCCCTTTCTACCCTCTTAGCATAGAATAGACCACAGAGTTGGGTATGTTAAAATGGTTTTTACTTACAAACTTTCCAAAGGTCAGATTCATGTGTTTTTCTGTGCCACAGCAAGAAAACACAGGCAGACATTTTGGGTTACAAAATATAGTAAAACGTTTCTGAACAAGTGGTCTGAGCTTGGAGCGATCAAGCTCACACACATCCTATCTGGCCAAGTTCACATGTTGGAAGAAGACAAACAGTAGAAAGAAAGCAAACAAAGAACCTTCCTAACCGTTTGCCACCAGAGGTGAGAGGGCAGAACCTGACTGAGTCTAGGAAAAAAGTTTATGGTCTTAACCCTTTCATCCATTAACTAGAGCTAAGCATGCTGTTTTATATGAGGCTGCAATTATATCCCACAGCTTTAGTAAGAGAGGCCAGGGGCAAGCAATCAGCAATATCCACTCCTTCAAAATGAATGGGGTGGAATGAGAATAGTAGTACAGCCTTGAGTGTGCACACTTATCCCAGTATTGTCCAGGCTCAGAATTTGTGTAGAGTTAAAAAAAAAAAAAGCGGGACAAACTGATGTGCAGAGTACAGTGGTACCTTGGTT